CAGTTACTACTTTAACCCCTCTCGGCGCTTTCAGAACACAGTATGTTTGTAACTGCAAACAGTACAAGTATTGAATATAAGTTTCTCTATTTACAAAATGATACATTTATATACATATACAGAGTTTCAACATAAATGCCGTTTGTGCAGGAATGAGTTGAAGCCAGTACATTCAAACTTGATAATTTCTGTGAATTCCCCTTTACTGTTTTACGCTTTGCTGGCTGTTTGACTTCTTAGTCAATCAGAATAATTTATCGTAAACAATTCTGGTCAGGGACTAGGTCCTCAGAGCCTTGAGACAGTGCAATCCATACAGTGTTCCAGAGAATAGGACTTTTAAACAATTTATGGGGGTTATGACAGATTGTTTTCACCACTACCTGCTTTTTCCTAAACTACTGTTTGATCTTTATGCTGCGTGGTTCATCAGTTCACCACTGAAAATATGCTCATATGTTGGAAATTAAAAAGAAAAATGCCCATTTCAACTGGAACTGGCTACAAAATGGAAGAAGGCAATGGCAAAGGAATGCTTTGATCACGATAACTGAAACATAAATTATATATCAATATATCCTTAAATAATGTATTCATCTTTAATGCATTCATTAAAAAACTAGGGTTTATAAAGTTATTCACAGTATTTTTTCAGGTGCTTAAGAGAATGTTTCTACATGAAGAGAAACTGGAATGAACATGAGCTATTCAAATTCATGTGCAGAAACAGACTGAGATATGCGTCACCTCACATTGGCTGATAGTTGAGTTATATTGTTGAATATCCCTCAAATTTCCAATCATGATTACTTAAATTGGCTTTTTTGAGTATTTAAGACAGCGGAGGGAAGATGATGCTGCACTCGTTGGCACTTGAGGATCTGAATATCAGTCACATTCTCCCTCAGATTATGATGTCACCTCATTCTGGTGTGAAACAAAATAATTACTTTGTTCGATGGCTAAGCAAGACACTTGTTAAAAGATTGCTTGAACAATAGTGAAACCTGTTCAAGAGATGACAGACTCTGTGTCTGCATAGCGTAAAGGGACATCTAATAACAGCATGGTTCTGCTCCCCTTTTCTGAATTTTCAGGTTTTCAGCCCGTTTTCCTTATTTCATTTTCCAATTACATGTATGTATGGCTAAAATGACATAGACAGGTATGACATGGGCCCACTGGTGTACTTCCTGCTCCACAGTTCTAGACTGGCGCTTCTGTGACCACCCGTGTGGCCAGTTGTGTCTGGCTGCTTATGAGCCTTTTGCTTTTTGATGATCTCCCATGGGAAATCCTCTATTGGAAGTGGGCTGGCAGGGCTGCCTGAACCCTCTGGCGTGCTTTCAGGAGTTCCCTCTATAATCTCAATTCGAGGTGGGTCCATCAAATCCATGATACTGAAGGGTGCTGGCTCGGGTTGGCACATCACTGACTTGTCCTCTGTGTTTTGTCGTACAGCCCAGCTTGAGCCTGCTTGAATTCCTATGGAAACTCTGTCATCTGTTTGTGTGGTGCTGTCGCTGCAGGGCTCCCGGCACAAAGTCCACATATTGTAGCACTGAGTAAAGTTGAAGAAGTTGCTGTTGAAAGTTTTTAATTCCCCACAGACATCTCTGCGCAGCTCTGCTAGTTCGTAGCGCATTGCAGAGATTTCATCCTTCCACTGCATGTTGAAGGCAGCGACCATGTTAGCAGACTCCTTAAAGGCCTGAATGGCCTGAGGAACCGGTTGCTCAGAGGTGGCTATTGGTGAGGCGGTAGGGACCCTGTATGAAGGTGGAGGTGCCGGTGGGATCGAGATGGCTGTTACCGTGGAGCTAGTACTGTGCTGGCTGCGTGCAGCAGCAGTTTCTCTCTCTAGCCTCTCGAGCTCCGCATAGGCAGAGGAGCTAGCACCATCATCATCCTCGATCATGTCATCATTTAGTAAGGATGTTCCATCCAATACATCATATCCCTCTGGAAGAAAAATGTGAATATGCAAACAGAAGGACATTCAGGGTGAAAAGAACAGCTGGAGTGGGATTTGACTGGGATTCTGATCTACAGTATAACACATATCTATGGAAAACATACAGTATGTGAGTGGAAAGTTCCAAAGATGTACAAGCTCTGATCTATTGATTTCCCATTTGGTTTGATAGATTTAACGTTAAGTAACGCATCTGCACCCACCACAAGCATTAGAAATGTGCACGGCTAAGTTGTAGGTGAATATCGGTCAGCCAAAACCTGCTTAAAAATGCACCTTTACTGAAATATGGTTTTCAGTTCTTTTACTCCACAAAGGCAACGATTATGACCTAACTCACATACTGCAGGCTTTTCACAATGTTTTTACACTGCCTTCTCAGTCATCTCAAGGCTTCTTTCCATCTTTTCACTGCACAGCACAACAAAGAGTGGAATTAAACATGAAATACATCAATCATTATCAAATCATAGATTCATTTTTTTTTCTGAGAACCCTTTCTCAAACCATGTCAAATGTTTCTGACTTACTTAAAATTTGTGCAATTTTGTGCAAAAGAAAAGATGCAAAGGGAGTAGAAGAATCACAAGAAGCAGATATGAACCCTATTGAACATATCAGGTCCGAGGTGGCTGATTTAGACCATGTGAAATATTCAAACCCGGTGAGGGCTGCACCAGGGAGAGGCTGCAATCCCACAGTCCAAGACAGTTGACAAAATCACTGCCAAGAGTTAGACTCTGCCACAAGTGGCCTTTTGAAAAGAAGCCAGATTTTCATGAAAGAAAAAAAAAAAGTTCACACATGTACAACAGGTAGATGCTGCGCTCACAAATGATTGGAGACAGTGGCAATGCGATAACATTCACTGCTATTTTATGCTGAAGCATGAAAACATTCTGAAGAGTCTGGGCAGAACATACCGCATACATTTACACTTACAATGTGGTCTAAGAACACTTAAAATAGAGACGTGGTAAACAACTCACAAAAGCCAGCATCACATTCATCACTGTAATCAATATTCAGCGTTACCAGTGCTCTAAAAATAAATCAACATGTCTGAGGTTTTATGAGTTGTTTGACACCATGTTTGCTACTTGGGATAACATAAGGCGATATTTCTACCAACTACATATAAACTTTATCTGCTATTTTTACTGAGAAGGCAGTGCAAAAACACACATATACATAGATATATGTATGCGTGTCAACATTAAAATACCTGCAACAATCATCACTGATGCCTCCAGTTGTTCTTTCCCCTTGGTTATCCTTCAAGAGATGGATGGTCAAATGGAGAGGGGTTTGCTGTTCGTCTGCCCTACGGAGCACCATGGGGTCCCTTCCCCACTCAAGGGCCCACTAGCCTCAGGGTTTGGGTCATAAGTTGCTTACAGTTTAATAATAATAGTAATAATCTAGTACTGATGACTAACATAAAAACAGGATTCCATGAATAAGCGATTCTCTCTTATTTTATTTTAATTTTATGGCCACTATTCACGCATAATTATAGTGCATCCCAAAAACAAGTAATATTTACAGTACGGGTTGTATGGGAGGTGACAGTACTGTATATTTTATCAGCATCCAGGGAGTCCTTTCGCTGCTACAGTCTTATATTGCATGTTGTAATCGATGCATTATGCTAATCTTGGTAATACAATTTCAGAACATAATGTACAGTCAACTGCTTGTTTTCGCCCATGTTGAGCTGACAGATTTGGAGCAGAGTTAAATGAATAGCGTTAAGCAAATAAGACGGTGGGATTGGAGAACACTCCTTTGTCCTCAGTACTTCTGTCACATCGTAGAAATCGTAGATGGAAACCCAATTGAGAATGAAAGGATAAAAAACAAAAACAAAAGTCCAGATTCAACAAGAAAACAAAGCCAACAAAATGAATAAAACTGCAAATGTCTCCAATATTAAATTGACAGAAAAGTGTACAAAAACAGTAAAAATCCAGGTAATCCATAATATTTAAAAAAATGCATGTAATTAGAGAAAAAAAATGTTTCAATAGGGTTCATAGCTTTACTCTTGCAGGCAAACACCAAATACACTCAGTGAGGGAGTTACCGCAAAGACTGTGCTTGCACAAAGAACCTGAAATGCTAAATAAAGGGACATATTGTTTGAACTGTGTCACAAAAAATCTTGAGATTATTGCATTTTTACATTGACATATCATTCATTGGGACATTTGTTAGCATTAACTCGAGTTTCATGCAACACAGTACAACAATACTGTTAGTAACGTTTTTTCTTTCAAACTCTAACATGTGTAGTGTAGTTTCTTTGTGCAACCAGCATGTAGGTGTGCATATGTACTAGCTGCTAAATCTTGTTGACTTACCTTAAATTGTTTGTTTTGTTTTTTTTTTTTACATTTTTTTATTTTATGTAGCCAATTGCAAGGTCCGTTACAAAGTTTGTGCTAATGGGGGGGCTTTGTCCAGTGTGTCCTTTCAAAAACAAGTATATCAGTGACCTACTGCTCCCCTGCCCCCTGGCCCATTTTGTTTTTCACCCCTCCCTAAGTAACTCACACGCTTTTCATAACACATAAATAACACCACACTTTAACATGCTTTGGTTCAGGCCTGTTCCTTTTAGGCATGCCATGTAATGTGGCTGTGCTGTGTTATTATACTGTGTACTATGGCCATGTGTTGCCGTTTTAATGATTAAAATGTAGCTCTCCCACCCCTATCCTAGATTAAAGCTCGGCAACACCACAACTGACCAATCAGAAGCTTGGCTAATGATGCATGACTCATGCAACGTAACACACAAGCAGGTCCATCTAAACAACTGGGAGTATGCAGTGGCAAAAAAACAAACACACGTACACCATAGCTTCCAAAGAAAATAACTGGAATCATTCAGCCCGGCATCTCTGAAGCTCAAGGGTTCCCCACTGTACATATTTAGGTATGTCAAGTTTGTGCGCATGTATAGGATATATGAAGATATGTAATCTAAGCCCTCTCTTATTCAGGGGGGGGATTGTTTTACCTGTTGTGGATCTGAGAGTTGAAGTGACAGTGGAGGATGTCATTGAAGGCAAGCAGTCGTCATCTTGGGAATAACCAGCCTGAATTGCACGGAGGTAACTGTGGCTTCGAGTGCGGAACGAACCAGGCAGGTCCAAGGCCTCCATGGCCTGGGATTCTACTTCACTAAAAACGGACTCGCAAACTGACTCAAACTGGCCATTGATCTCAGTCTCACTCACCTGAGAGACAAAAACAGGAATAGCAGTCCTTAATTTTTCCTCTTCCTTTCTCTTTCTCACTTTGATTCTTCCCCTTTGCACAGCAAATATGAAGGAGTGTTAGCATAAGGAAACGCCGCTGTCAGTTTCGACCTTAAACTGAATAAATGTCAGATCAAATGGGGAAAAAAAAATTCAGATGACAACAAAAAAACAATAAGAAAAATAGCCAGTTTGAGTTATAAAGCAATAAATTGATCACAAAAGACGTTCTATACAGTATACTGAATGCTAACAGATGGAAGATATCTAATAAGTCGTGGAAGTGCTTAGAAGTACAATAAACTGCTCTGTGTAACAAGATTCCTTTGTTAATGTCAAAATCGTGTACTCATCAAAGGGAAATGTTATTTTACAGCTAAGTGCTGAACGTGTCTCTGTAGTGTAGTAGTTAAAGCATTTGCCTAACCACCAATAGATCCCCAGTTCAATCCTACGAGGAGACACAAATCCCTTTGGGGCTGCGTCAGGAAGGACATCTGGCACGAAAACTCTGCCAAATCAAACATGTGGAGTTTACCTGTTGTGGAAACTCCTTATGAATGAGGGAAGAGATAAAAATAGCTTCTTTTTTTAGTGATACAAATTGTGTTGGCCGCATACTTTTGTTTATATTTGAATTATGTAATACTTTTTGTAAATGTTAATGTACTATTGAGATAATATTGCCTGTTCATTATTACTTTAGCCTTTACTATTTAAAAATGGGAATGATTTGCTATTAATTAGACCTTTTCCAGTAATGGAAAACTAGGTGTTAGAACGTAAGGGTGATGTTGGTTCAAAACGTGTATTTATTTCATCTCCAGGCCTACACTAGTACTGTAGTACATTGCTCGAGGGTGACAAAAAAGCCCTGTCAACCAAAACAAACGAGTTGGCATGCTAAAACAACACTAGGCTCAGTGTATCAGTAGCCTGTTCCAGATATCAAGATGCAAACTTGCTGATGTGACACTGATGTCCTAATTTAATAATTATGTGTAATTTCACATTTTTTTTTATGAGCAGATAACACTTCAGAAACAAACTGGAAACCATGTTGGACTGTGTCTGGAATTGATTTAGACATAAGCTTTCAGATAAATCATCTGTACCCAAACAGTAAAAGCAATAAGTTATTCCAATTTCGTTTGACTGATATAGCCAAGGCTTTGTCTACAACAGGGATGTCAAACTCGCTTTACATTGTGGGCCACACAAAGCCCACTTTGAACCAGTGAAATGCCCCTTTCTGTCAGTGTAAAGAGATTTAACAATATATTTAATCCCTGAGGTATCTTAATATTAGATAAAGAAGTCTAATTCAACAGCATGTGTCTTTTTGTACATAATAAAGAAATTGTGCTGTAGTTAATGAAAGAAATCACAGGAAAAATTCTAGTAGTTAATTTCCCAGACTTCCCTGTAAATATAAAACAGAAGTTTCTTGTTAACTCACTATAGACCCATTAGTCTACAGTAAATAGTAGATAGCGAATGTCATTTTATTTTTTTTTTATCTACAACTTATTCACTTTAGTGTGGTATTAATGACCATGTGGGAGGTCTTAATTGTAGTAGTAACACTTATAAAAGTACAGTAAAAAGTCCAAAATTCATGCCCTCCTTCATATTTTCCAAAGACATCTAGTGGGCCGGATTGGAGTCTGCAATCTAATAATCAGGGGACCTCCCTTGGGTGCTTAGTGCCTCTGTGCTGTCCTCAGCACAATGCTACTACATACAAACTGATATAAGCTCTCAGTGATGTGTCCAGGTGTTGCCTCTGTGTGATGTATGTGTTTGAGACTCACCTGGCTGACGCAGCTAGCCTGACTGAGGGTGCTGACGGCGCGCATGTAGCTCTGGTTGCGAGAGCGGAAGGGCGGGGGATGAAAGGTGGCGGGGTCCAGCGTGACACTAGGGTGGGGCTGTATATCTCTTGTGGTTTGCAAGTGGTAGCCCTGGCTGAACAAGGACAGGGGGCAGGGACAGACACGATTTCACAGTTCAAAAGCCACAAAGGTAACATCTGGAACACACTGTAGTTTATAAATCCGCTGGTTAGCATCTGTTGGCACGGCCTTATTTGTGATTAAATGAAAATGAACTTCTACATGATACCCCCTCACCCCTCTCATTTTTAAATATCCTCTAGTTCCATGATAAAACACTAGTTCATTCATCCCAAAATCATAGAGAGCATGCATAGCTAGGCTGTGGCTCTTATTAGGGAAACAGTGACAGCATGGAGTTACAGTAAGAGATTATTACATTCTCCACCAGAGGATAAACAAAACATAAGAGCTGTTTTGTTTGTGGACAAAAGCAAAAGTGATCAGTTCCCCACTGAGATGATGGTAACAAAATTAGCACTCAGTGGCAGTAGAGACGACGGATTCACGACAGCTCCCTAGCTTCAAGAATTTGGCTGCGTTTGAAAGTCACAGTGCCTGAAAACAAACAGTCACAGAGAACAATAAATTGGGGGGGGGGGGAAGCTGTGTTTCAGCTTAGGTAGAGCAATGACATCACGAATACGCCAATTAAAAAACACTCTGTATGTTGTTCTGGTTTAGCATGAAAAAGATACACATGATTACCATTTACCAGTGAGAGATCATTAGGAAATCATTAAATGGAGGTGGTAAGATCCTGAGAAGCGAAATCTATCTGTTCTAAAACAGCCAACTGATGTACCCTGTGCTTTAAAAAGTAACATCACCCAAATCATCTGGATAATTAATCTCAATTTGTCCAGTGCAGAACCTTTTGCAACATGTTATTTGTATGTTAACCCTGATTAGAATAATTATTAACAAAATACTATCTACCACATTTATATTAATGAGTAGATCACATTAGAGTGAAAGTGAATTGTAAAACTGTCAATAATTAAGGTTTGTTGTAATTGTAAAGTCAACACAGTAGTGCAGGAGTGTCTTGGGTTTGGCTCCACAGGTCGACTGGGGCCTTTCTATGTGGAGATTGCATGCTCTCCCTTTGTCAAAGTCTGTCTAGGATCAAAACACAGACATATATACTCCACACTTGGCTGGGTTACAGAACAAACCCGTCACTTCCCCCAAGGCTTCTCATCAAGCAGTGTTAACTTTAACGTATGCCCTTCCATGTGTCACCTCTCCTGCATTTGAACCGGCTCTCTTTCTTTCTTCTTTTGACAGAATTGTCAGCAATAGCGTGATGCGGCAATGCGGGGTTTGTGTATGGCATATCAAAAATTTATATCAAACTCAAAACCTGTTGGTGCCACAGCAATCACCAGAGCACGGCTGCAGCTGACCCATGAAACAGTTGTAGAAATACAGTGCTTGGCAGGCAATGCCTAAGACCAAAAAAGAGCCAACCACAGCAACCGTACAACCCAACAAAGGTACTATTGTTTTCCAAAGTAACTTCACTTGAAATCACCTGACTGTTCAATTTAGTCATATCTCTCAGGGACAGCTAAACAAAAAGCAGAATTAACAAACAGCAATTTTACTTTGACAGCATGTAGGCAGAGCAGTGAGACTGTTAATTTATATAGACGACTCTGAATGTTCTTCCTTTGAGCACCAACTAAACACAGCATGCAGCAACATTTCGTTAGCAGCAAGTGTTGCATCAAAACTCCCAACTTTCCACTTGTATTGAAGTATGAAAAAAACAACAACTTGTGTCCTCAGCGTTGACTCCAATAAATTCTAGCCAAGCAACAATTAACACTGAAATCCAAGCAGCTCAACTGGTTGACCCTGAAGCAACACCAGAGATACTGCTATTGATGAGCGCTGGTTTTGTCATGTAAATATTTGAAACTTGTGAAATAAAAGTGAAATGAATCACAGTGCATCATCTTACCTTTTTTTGAGTAAGACCTTAGTGAACCCATGATAAAAACTGGAATATTTAAATGAATACACAGCATTGCCGTGGGCACACTAAGTCAATACGTTAGGCAACCAGGCCTACCTGTGGGAGTCTAAATGGGGTCTCTGCATGGCTGATTTGAGGACAAGAGCATCTGACCGAATGGTCTTTTGTGGAGAGGTCTTAGGGCTGGTGTCAGAGTCCCCACTTTCATCATCCACCTCTCCCATTGCTTTAACATAGCTACTGCTTCGCATCCGCCGACATGGGATCTCGTCATCCTTCTCACCTGGGTATCCACTCCACTCATCTTGGGGCACCTGTGGAAGATGGTACACCTACATTTAATACAATACAGACATTTATAACAATTAGGTTGAAGTAGTCCAGGATATTACTTGTTATTCCTGCAAGTCTGTGATAAAACGACGATGAGTACTATAGCAATATTTAGCCATGTACAAAATATACAGCTTTGACAGGGTTGTGGAAATGAAAGATATTTGCAAGTACAGCTTGAAAATTACCCAAATAAGTGTGAAAAGTGTATCAGAAAACATTCTGGCTATGAGTTTTTTAACCTAAATGGAAAAATCAAGTAAAGGAATTGTGTATCACAGTGATGCCAAGGATGTTATCGGTGAAAATATAAAGTTGTGAGACCGTAACATAAAGCAAATTTTTAAATAATTATAAAGATTTATCCAAGTGGTTTCACAACAGTGTACAAACGTTGGTCTCCAGCTGTACCTAATTTTGGGCTGATTAAGAAATAATAACTGGTTACTTTGTTACGTGGACTTGTCCAACTGCTTGTTAACATAAATATACAATCAGCCAACTCAGTGCAGTTCGGTGTATTTAGGCATGAAGAGATGGTCAAAATGTACTATTGGAGTTCAAACTGAGCTTCAGGAAGAAAAGTGATTTAAGTGACATTGAACATGGTCATATATTGGGATTTTCCCACATAAGCATATACAGAGATATGAGAAATAGTCATGATTTAACAAGAAGGGCAATTACGTTTACACACAGGACCAACTTTTTCCCTTAATCAATTAAACCATCATTTAAAAACTGCATTTTGTATTTACTCTGGTTATCTTTGTCTAATATTAAAATTTGTTTGTTTGATCTGAAACACATAAATGTGACAAATAAAACTAGGAAATCAGGAAGAGGGCAAACGCTTGTTCACACTGCTGTATTTCTTCTCACAGTTTTCCCAAAAGGGACATGTCAGCAGTATGCCAGCACAACAATCTAACTTCAGAAATATCCCAAAACTTTTTTTTCCATTCATAAATGTTTAGGTAGCCCAAAACTACCCAGCCCATCACTAAATTACGGGGTGAAATTCATTATCACATTTCTTAAAAGTAAAGTAAAATGGCACTTTACACGGTCAACATTCAGTTGAAGGGACAGGGTTCAGCATCCTTTTTAGCAAATTGCTCATAATGCAAATCGAAATGTGGCCAGATTTAAAGGATTTTTGGGAAGCAAATGAACACATTTGGCAAGGAATCAGTATGTATTTTTATGCACACACAGAAAGGCAGCCAATCATACCCCTGAGGCTTGGGCTGTAACTTTTAAGTCAGCATACTGTCATCACTGTAGTATTACTAATACAAAAACATACATGCTCTTAAATTAGCTTTGACTGCCAGCCAAATAAACACAAAATAAGCTTTTGGCATACTGCAGCTCAGAATTAGTTGTAAGGCAAATGTGATTAAAAACTACAAAAATAATGAACACTCATGTACAGTCATGTGAAAAAGAAAGGCTGACAGTATTCTATGCAGTCCTGTGAAAAACAAACTACACCCCATGAACCAGTAGCTTGTGGCACCACCGTTAGCAGCAGTAATCGGTGAAGTAATTGTATTCTGTATGACTTTATCAGTCTCTCACATCGTGTGAAGGAATTTTGGCTCACGCATCTTTACAGTTTTGCTTCAGTGCAAGCAAATGCTTATGTACAGCTCTCTTAATGTCCCGCCACTGCATTTCAATCAGACTGAGGTCTGGATTTTAACCAGAATATTGCAACACCTTGTTTCTTTTCTTTTTCCATCATTATGCTGTAGATTTGCTGGTGCACTTGGGAACATGGGGACATCCACCCCTAGGAAAATTATGGCATTGTGTTAACACACACCTGAATGCTCCAGACCAGCAGAACTTCTGCTTTAACAAAGGTGGTCCCACTTGCTGATGGTTAGTTAATTAAGTGCATTCGATTAGCAGCACTTGGCTGCTACTTACCGTACACCCCTGATTTCTATGGAAGCAGCAAGGCTGTACTCTTTCATGTGACTGTATGTATTAGATGCTCATAGCCATAACATTATGTAGCATAAATTGGTTTCAGTGTTTCAATTATAAGTACAATAAACAGGGACTTTGCTTAACACAGCAGCATCAAGATTAGCATAGTGATTAAGTGATTCTGTTCTAATTACTCTACACTGTGCTGTGCAGTGCTGCAGATGTCTACACATAATCATTGCGCTGATTTAGTGATTTTGATAGAACAGAAATTATAGAGTATATCAAGTTCAACTCTTCAAAAATGATTACCTGTTATTGTTGGGTTGAATACACAGTGTATGTTTGAGCTTACAGTATCAGATTGATGCTACGGTATTAAAAACAATGTTCATGGGTTCTTCAATTGCACCCTGGTTTAATTCTTATGAAGATGGACAGCTACAGTGGCCATGTGTCACACACCGATTGTGCTAACAGCGTATTGATCAGGCATGTAGCAAGTACAGCAGTGTTAGTGTGTGGTGCAGCTAGCAGTAGTCCCAGTGGACAGGCCAGTCTTAGCTCCTGGAACAACAAGCCCAGGCGCAGGACTGTTCTTCATGCTCTGCCAGTTACTCACTTTACTGTTTTTCTGCCACAAGTGCTGAACTGCTCTCACAGAAAAGAAAGTGGCTGACATCCCTTTTTTTTTCCTCCTAGAGGTGGAATAATGCTTTCTCTATCACTTCCATTCTCGCTGTCTGTTCTTGCTGCCCATCTCTTCATCTCTTCCCCTCATAATCTTTTTCTTTAGCACCCAATATCCTCTCTTACTCGACAGCCCTTGTGCTCAGTGGAGACAGGTGAGGGACTCAACAGCATAAGGCACTTAAATAAAGCTTTTTTCTTCTGTATGGAAGGTGGCACATAGTAAAAAAGTAGGAGGATTTACAGATGATTATAGCAGGACCAACTGGGCTTCATCATCCTTAGTGTAAAGTATTCTGCTCAGATGTATTCCTCAACTGTTTTTGTAGTCAACATAAAACGCGTTCTGAATCTTTTAAACCGTATGCTACAATTTGACAAAACTGTACAATTGTACAATTTTGACAAAACACAATGAATTTCTTTTGCGCAGCATGTCTCACTGCCTCAGCACTAAACTCCACAACAGCACGTAGGAAAATGAGAGATGATTGTTCGGTTACCTAATATTGTGATATAAGATAACATTTTGTGCATTATCATCTAAAAAAATGAAGGCAGTAGGTACGTTGCAAACCTGCGTAACCTGATAAGTTAACATGGAAAAAAAAAAGACCCGTCTGCAAAAGTGTAACACAGACTAATACATTTTCCATTCCCACATGCATAGAATAAAATGCCTGGAAACTAAATTAATCAGCCTTAAAGACAGCAATAAAGTAAAAGATTCATTTTCCTCCTAATGCACAACCATTGATCGTCTGGGGCTGCTGTTAACGAGGCAGTCATCACTCATGGAAGCAGTGCGCTACCTCATTAGCATTACCTTATTTCTGTGTTCATTTGATGCCATACCTGAAAGAACTTGTTTAGCTGTGCCTCTGAGGCAGCTAGACAGATGAGCTGCTTTACACCATCATTAGTTACTACTACACTGTGGGCACTTTGTACAAAAATAACCCTGGGATAAAACATCTTCTCAATGCAGCAAGTAATTCCATAACGCCATGTACCAGATGTGAAACTGCATCTTGTGAAAAACAACACTGACCTGTTGGATGTGGTAGAACAATTTCTAGCTCGTAAATGTGCGAGCCCTGTAATTTTGTGTCTGAGTAAGCCAGTTTTTTTTTTGGCTTTTGAAATGGTGAGAGTGGACGCAGTCTATTTGAAGGTTTTTATATGCAAAGGTAGCAGGATAACTATGATTTTAAAAAATATGGTGGGAAGGTTGTACAATTTTCCTACAGAAGGAGCCCTTCTTGTACTGAGACCATTTCTGATGAGGCTATGGTTAATAGTAGATGGATTAATTGAAGGACCGGGTGCATCTCTCATGTCCTGTGTCAGGTCTTTGCTGAATTTCTTCTTATTTCTTAAGGACATGCCCTTCAGATACTGTTCTGTTGCCTTCTGCTTCTTGTTTCGTTACACTTTTCCAGTTTCATTAGGTTTTTAAGGGCAGATTAAACATCATCAGGAATCGGGTGTCCATTTTATGTCTCAGCGATTCATAGGTCAGTGTTAAGTGGTCAGTTACAAGGACAGGACTGAAAATGAGTGAAAAAACCACCAACGTCCAAAGAAAACTTTTCAAAGACCTTAAGAAAACCTGGAGAACTATTGCTCGAGACTGGTTTTAAAAATTACAAGAAGTGTAAAGAAACTAGAGGTGAATCAAGACTTTTGCACAGCATTGTATGCATTTTTCTTAATGGCTTAAAATGGTATGTAGATTCAACCTCTAATATTCTTTGACATATGCTTCACCCTACCCTTGTTGGCTTAGATGGTCAGACTGAAGACGTGACACCTGCTAAAACAAGATTATGTCAGCTTCCCTAAGGCAGGCCTGTCCTCCTCATCACAAGTGAACATTGACCTAAAGGACCCAGACATCAAAGAGATAAAATCAGATGGGCACCAAGAGCGTTCACCACAACGCCTTTACAGATCTCCGCTCATTGATTCCACTGAATAAGGCTCTCATTATGGACATGCTCAGTGCTGAATGTGCCCATGTGGCAGCTGCAGGGTCTCTGCCTGCTGACACATAAGCTTGTTAAATGCCAGTGAGAGAGCCCCTCTATTGACAGAGACTACCCATTACACACAAATAACTGCAGTTTGTGTATCTGTGTGTAACTGTGCATTTCACACAGCATCAAAATGAATGAAGGGGATGCATATGGTACTCGGTAGAACTATTTATGGGTTTATATGAGTGCCGCACGATTCAAATTTGATGTCATGAGTAAAAAAAAACATGGGTAATTGTTGATTATAGTGCAAGCATATATTTCAGTTTGCAACTTTCTCATAATGGCTGTCATTGAAAGTGGCTTAAAGGAGTTGTCTATTTTCAAGATTGAGTGATATACAAGCACAACTGTAATATGGAAGCATAGCTTTAATAATGGCCAATCACTTCAGCTGTTCTCTTTCACATTACAGTCAAGCATTTCATAACATGACTGACCAAAGTCCAGGCCAGCTTTTCCCAAGATGTGCATACAACAAGCATCGTAATGCTAATGACAACCCATTTGAAATCTGATTGGCATTTCAGAAACAACTGTTACCCATGTCACTGTTTTTATCATTATTTCCCATTCTTAAGTCACTTTCATTAAAAGCTACTTAAAGCAGGACTTTGAGCTTAATATTCTAATGCTGCAGCCTGTGAGTCACTGTGGATGAGAGTATTAGCTAAGTGCTTAGTATTAAAAATTAAAAGAAACTCAAAGATTGCTGAAAGACTGAATACTTGACTTTTGACTGTTTTAGAAGAAGTCACTATCTGTAGCTTAACTGCTTTACTTTAGTCTCGTAACGTGACAGTGTTACAGGCAAGCATGGGGCATAAAATCTGTGAATAAAGTAATGTCTCTTTCCAATCTGGTGAACCAGCTCTTACAGCAACTCAAGCCACACTATATGCTGTTTTTGCAGACACCACATCCTTTGTGTTTCCTACACTGGAGTTCAGCTCAGTGGTTCTTCTCAGTGCTTTCCACCATGACATTGATTCAGTCAGGCGAGCTCTATATCTTAATAGACAATAGCTCCCTGAGGTGAGCACACAAAAGGGAATCCTGGTTAAATATATTGACTTCTCACATTTGTGGACACTGTAATTGCCCTCTGGAGGATGACAGAAAGAAAGGCAGACTCCAAATACCCCGCTGTCTAGATTTCTAATCGATCAATGCATTTTATCGAGAAGGGCAGTGTCAGAGATGAGTGGATATTGATCTTAGTTATTGTTTGTTGTATTATCTGATAGTTGGCATTTCAAATATCTCCACATTTACTGGCCTTTCAGTCTATATTCAGACATTTTTTGTGGGCCTTTTCCAAAGAGTTGAGTATTAAACATTTAGAAGAACACAAAACTTGGAAGGAAAAATCCTGTTACTGCTTCAAACTAAATTAAACAACTTCTGTGATTTCATTCATTCGGAAAGCAAAGGATGACTTATACATGGACATAAACTAGCAGCTGATCAATGCCAGTCAGAATTGTTTGTATGGTATGGAATGAAATCTGTGTTTGTGTACCAGCCATAGCATATACACCGATGCACACAAAAACATGTATTTCAGTAGCTCAGTACAATACGCCACTAATCAAATTTGTCTGTACTTTAAGGACATATGTTTCCAAAAAAAGGTACTACTAACCTGCAGGTAATGACATGTCCGCGATGACTTGAGGTCCGTGTACATCATGGGTTTCTCTAAATTAAGCGATGACTTCCTGTAGGCCTCTTTGGCCTGGCTGACTGTTAGAGTCGACCAGGAGCTCCTCTTCATGAACTTGCCCTCGGGTCCCATGGCCATACTTTCACACGCTGAGCACTTGACATCATTGTTACTCTTTGAGGTCTTGAGTGACAGGTCTCCAAAGTGGTGGCTGTGCATGGAATCTGGGTGGTAGTGGCCGACATGTTCCCCATGGTGCCGTGACATGACACTGGGTGTGCGATAGGTGCTGTCACTATCCAGGTTGTCATCTGAGCTCCACCAGCCACCAGAGCGGTGCTTACGTTCTTTGCTCTTGCTCCTCTTGCTACCGTGTTTTGTGGAGTGGTGGCCATGATGGTGATAACCCCCTCCTACAATGTCACCTTTTGTGCCATTCATCTTGGACGATCCCTCCAGGGAGTGGGACTTGGTGAAGAGCTTTTGGACTGAATGAACAAGGTGTCGAATGCGGCCGGGACTCTCACTGCGTTGCTCGGTGGTGGTGGAGGTGCGCTGGTATTGTAGAGTGTGGAAGCCGTCACGGTGCAGTGGCAGTTGTTTCTCAAACTGGTCCAGGAGATTAGCAGGAAGGCGGTTGCTCTTGGTGCCAGCATGGTGGGAAGAGGCAGCTGCTGCAGCTGCAGCAGCCGCAACAGCTGGGGATGTGGCGGAGGCTGTGATGGCAGCGCAGTCGTCCCGTGTGGCTGAGTCATAATACTGAGAGCTGTAGTGCATTCTGGGGAAGGTGCTACTGGAGATGTGGTCAGATGCAGCAGCTGGGGGCATCATGACAGGGGACATCATCATGCAGTCGGAGTGGATGGAGCTGCGTGGTGAGTAGCGGTGGTGGAAGTCCATAGGGCAGCTCTCTGTGGGGCTGAGCAGGTAAGATGGGTGGCGGGAGTCAGCGCCATGGTGAGTGTGGATGTCATGGACGTGGGGATCATAGTCCAAGCCGTGGGGTAGAGGAATCTGATGTTGGGAGCGGCTGCCCGATAAGCCCTTCATGTTCCTGGATGGAGGGAGGCGTCTGCCTTCATTGAACTTTCGAGACAGAGACCAAGATGAAGTCTTCTGGTCTGTTTCAGAGAAGGAGAAAAAGAAGAGAAAGATTCTGTCAGATTGAGAGAGCATAGTGACACCTGACAGATGAATACTCTCACGGGGTGCTTCCCCATCATCCTGCAATTCTAATTTACATGTAGACCAGTCCGTACCGAAACACTTCTAATTAAGTAAATACTCCTACAAAGGCCAGACCATGTTACACAATAGGTTTTTACACTTTTACACTGATTGACACTTTCAGTAATGTGACGCTAACCTAAGTTAACCTCACTAATGACTGCTTTTAATATAGTAGAAAAGCTATTGAAATATTTTTGTTCTACATGAAAAGTTGCACTTCAATGTGATGATGTGTCAAATTTCATCTCATCTGAAAAGAACAGATGACAAAACACCCTGGAGGTTTTGAAGCTTAAAAATAGGAAATGTACTTGTGAAGTATAATTCATCATAAATGACTGATTATCTCCTGCATATATGTTGAAATACACACTTTTTGCAACTGATTTTATTCTTCATCGTAAAGGTAGATGTCAGTAAAAGAGTTTCGCTTTTTAGAATATATAAAGAGAACAAGCATTTATTTCAGAGACATTGTTATCAGTTGGTCCTGAAGACTCAATAATACATGGTTTATGGATAGATAACCATAAATTACATTAGAGATTTTCTGCACTAACCAGATGTTTCCTTCTATATAACTGTACTCTACAGAATCAAGGCTCCAGTTTTCTCAAAATGTTTTTTTTACAAAAATTGTGAAGAAATCTAAAGCAAGTGTAACCCCTTACTAGATATTATTGTCAAGTTGTGAAGTTACTGTTTAAATGCAAAAACCTAGCTTGCTTCATTTAATCCAATATAATACTTGTCTGTCGAACTCCTCTAAAATCTGTGATAAAAGCATTATTTCTCAAGCCCCGTGGTGGAGAACATTATTAGCTGTACACCTAATTATTTTGGAAGAGACGTGCACATCTTTGGGCGGTGATCACAAAGAGGGGCAAATTTTTCTTTACTTCAGAGAGATTTTTAAATGAGAAAATTTGGTAGCTTCTGTGTGTGAGGTTAAAAGGTTCAGCATAACTTCCAAAATCCCTTTGCTCTGTCAGTCCCTAGAACATGCTTCATGATGAAAGCTGTTCCAGCTCCCACGAGTTTTCCTCTATTGCATTTATGATGTACAATGCTGAAACAATATGTGCATATTCACCAATAGTTTATAACATTCAATGTTTGCTATGTTCAACACATAAAAATTAGGGGAGGGATTAAAGGTAAGATAAAAGTAGTCCTATTCATTTCACTCACAACGATATTATGATGGCATGATAAAGGTTTGGTGGCAATGTGGTGCACTGGTTAGCACTTAATTGGTGATTCTCGGTCGAAAACATGAATGGTTCTCTGTCTCTCTCTGTTAGCTGCATGCTAGGCAGGTGACCTGCCAAAGGTGAACCCCACCTCTTACCCAGCATCAGCTCCGATAGGTTCCAGCCTGCCGGCACAAATGACACTAAATTGGATAAGCGATTAGGAAAATGGATGAGTGAATAATTAGGGTTAACACACCCAATGTGGTTGTGATGGTTTATTATTATTAGTTGTCTTATGCTGCATCTCATGTTGCCATGAAGTGGTATCACAATTTTGCAACTTACTGGACCAATAATTGCAAACAATGTGCAACACTACCTTAGAAATATGAGCACTGTAAGCGTGTACCGGTGCTTCACGAAATACAGGGCTGCAAGCAGCGATGCAAGGCAAAGACCTATGCCATGGTAACTTGATTTAATTATGTTAAAAGCAGGGTTGTTGTCACAAAAAATAAATTAATCAAAGAAAGTGTTAGTGATTATTGCACTTCTGTCATTGGTCAAATAATAATATGAACCTAAGGAATAGTTCAGAAGTCCACATACAGTGTCCAAGATCCTAATTCCTGTCTCCTGGTTTTGTCCCCACTCTCTATGACAGATTTAGAAAATATAAAATACCTCCAAGAACTTGGTCTTGCTTGGTCTTAAGTCAATATATAAGGTTGGAGGTGGGTCACATGGTCCATACATAAACACAGAAAAAGTTAGAACAAAACTGGGTCTACACAGCTTCACTGCTTTAACTGCAAAATGATCGTTTTTTTTAAAGTAAGGCAATAGTTACTTTTCAAGTAATTAATGACTTTTAGAATATTGTAACTCAGTTACTAACTCAGTTACTTTTTTGAAGAAGTAACTATAATTAATTACTTTTTCAAAGTAACTTGCCCAACACTGCTGATTAGCATCTGAGAGTAAAAAAGATCAGTTCAGAATATGATAGTGTTATAAAGCTCATAAACCGGTAATTACTATGGACTGATTTGCAAAATATCCAATGTCTATCTTCAACCTTCATTTGCAAATGTGTGCACTGCTGATATTTGTGAGATTGATGAGAAAATTGCTTCCTTGAAGTGATTAGCAACTTGTTTATATGCAAACATTTTGCAAAAGAGGTCATGTAAAACCATAAATTATAATTTATTATTTTCTGCCCTGTTAATTATAGAATTTTCTATCATCAAAGGCATTACCAATATTCACATAAATCTTGATCTTCACAATTTTTATGGCGCTGTGGTCCATCAAGTTGCAGGAAGACATCTTAAATGTACAAAACCTTCCACGAATTGTGTCAGAATGGGCACCATTATTAATAGTCTCCATCCTCAGCTTATCTTCCTGCATAACAATTACAGCCTACATCTTACCAGTGCGATTTGAAAACTGTAAGGTAAACAGGGAGGCGATGTCTTGAGTGCATGCAAGTCCCCTGTAATTAATTACTTACACTTCTCTGCAGCAGAAAACCCCAGTCTGGAACAGTGCACATCGCCTTACATAACGTTTGGGATCTCTGATCGCACACACCATTTCAAAGGAGCCAGAAATAAAATGCACAGTTGTCATGGCAACTACTGCTGAAAATCCCAGGAACTGTAATAGGATTTTCAAGGTTGTTTGGGGTGTATCCCAGTCTCACAAGGAGGGGGGAAAAGACCTACTATGTAATGCGATACAGACTCTTGATGCGTGACTCTATGACTTGATTTGCCATGTGGGCTACTATGTTCAGTGCTCTGTTACAAGTTGGGGTGGTTTGGTTTTGTTTAGCATAAAATAAACTATGAATGTAATCACACATTTAAAGACAAAAAATGAACTGCACATTATATTAAGGCTTTGAAAATTTAAATGCCTTTCGCCCAGGGATACCCAGGACTACATGACTTGGGATTTTTTGCGCTGCATGTTTGTACCAATAACTCCATTTTAATGTTGCAGAGCAATAAATGGATAAAATTACACTTTAAAATAATTCAATTTATGTTCTTTCCTTGCTCTAAATATTGGTCTAACTACAGTGAAAAACACTAAAACATTCCCATTCATCAGAGGGTGTAATCAGCCATGTTATGCGACTTATTTTTATATTTTATTTTCATGCTGTGTTTCAGCACAGGTTATACACTGCTTGGTGAGTTGACCACAGAAAACAGCAGATGTAGTGCTGTAAAACTTTAATGTAATAATTACTCTGTAGTGGTTAAAGCGCTCTCTTCTCCTGTTTCTCTCTTTCTCATTTTCACCATCAAAGCTCTCTGTTGTCCCACTTAAGTTCCCTCTCATTATCTCCTGAATTCAGTACATTGAAGTTGACGATATCAATTGGTTGCTGAGTTGAAAAAGTGCTTAAAAAATATGCTTTTTGCAAACTTTGCGTTCATCAAGAACAGTGACTTGATGTGGACCCAGTATGTATTTCATTATTCTTGTTATGTACAGTTGTAAATGGTGACGTTAAGCATGGCCAAAGTTTCAAATAATGAGGTAAGTGTATATGCAGGTGATCCAAATCAAGAGCCAACATTTCAGGCTTTAGATCGTGCTGCTTTTTTTCTGTTCTTCAATAGTGACAGTATTGTACAAAGGATGTGGAATATTGAGTTGCTATGCAGAGGGGAAAGAAGACGACCTAGGAGATTCATGGATGTAGTGAAGAAGGATATGCAGAGAGTTGGTTTGACAGAAAAGGATTTTATGACATGGGGTCTGATGGAGGCAGTCGATGTGTTGGGTTCCCCTGAAGGGAATAGCCAGAAGAGGATTTGTACATTACATACGCAAGAATTTGAGTAATGCATGGAGAGAATGGTGGCTCAGAAAAGGGGTGCTTACTTTAATTATTTTTCCTTTGGAGGTTGTTTTAGCCATGGTGAGGACTTGTAAGGTAAGAATAAATATTCTGTTAATTATTTATTGATGGCAGTTAGATAAAAACAAACAAACAAACAATAACAAAAAAAATAAAGGCTGCAAAAGCACACAAAACACAACTGAAATAGGAAAAACAAAAACAGAACAGGAAAAAAAAAGATTTCCAAAAGCACAAGTGTTTCTGGGGAGACAATAACCCGACGGACCAGTTGCAGGAACCAAAATATGCTAGGTAACTGTGTTTTAATCTCATGATTCATATAATACTAATGGAGGATTTTTAGGCTATAGTTAGGCTAACACACTTACCTCTCATCTTTTCTTTCCTCACAAAACCGATAGATCCTCCACTTCTTTTAAGTGTCTCCCAGCGCAATTCTTATCATATTTTGGTTGCTGCAACTGGTCAGTAGTGATTAATAAAGTATTAGTGACATTATATATAGCCCATGAATCATACTCTACAGTTTGACTGCTTGTTGCTCCTTGTTCCTCCCTGTGGCATTAGCTAGCTGTGCATTGGTGTGGAGGAGGAAGGCCTCATTTATTCCAAGTTATGCAACCATCTTGGGAAAAATGCTGGCCAGGCGCTGACTGCAGCATAGCAGCAGAGCTTTAACCAGCAACACAATGCTTTCCCAGAGAGCAGAGAAAACACAGAGGCATTCCCCTCTATGTTATTCTCTTACACACTGGCCCCAATATCTTCCCCCTCAATGTGTGGCATATTTTTCAAAAAAACAAAAACA